TATTGATTTTCCTGAGACGGAGTATATTACCCAACTTTTAACGTAAACAAATTTTATGAGTTTAAATCATAAAGTTCGTTTACGTTCGATACGTCTTTATAGAGTTTTTTGAAGATTTTAATATGGCTTATTTTGTAACAAGTATTAATAAGTACATAAAACTTTTTAACTTTTATTTTCTTTCTTTGACAATAATAAAAGACAGTAATAAGTTTTTAAGTGCAATAATAGTAGTTTTGAATAATTAAAATTAAATGCGATCGAATCTCGAGTTACTAATATAATGATTTTCTGCTAAATTTTGCCTCTGTCTATTCGGCGCTCTACCCTAACGCCGTACTGCTCTTATATCCACTTCTTCGCAAGATTCAACTTTTTTAAAATTTTTTTCTAAGCGCTTCTTTACGTGATACAATCTTTCTTAACTCTTTTATGACCACTTCTTTACGTGATGCAATCTATTTATCTATCGTATAGCTGGCCTTACCACATTCTTGCATAACTTAACTGAACAACAGGCTATTGCAAATCAATTTTAAATTCCAAAAAAAAAAAAATAATAATAATAATACGATGCTGTAATAATGAATGACGATAATGTTACTACATATTTCTTCACTGATATAAAAACTACGCCATTTTTTTGGTTTTACAATAACATTCACAATTATCAAAAATTCCTCATTCTTAATTATCTAAAAAAACTTGAAGAACTTCTCTTATTCTTTACAGTGTTATCATCCCGTTCAACTTGACTGTCGATGTTGCCGATGTCGATACTGTCGATGATGTCGATGTCGATGCATCGCGTTCAACTTGACTGTCGACTGTTTCCGTTTGACATCAGAAAGACTTATTCACTCCTCCTCACTTTAACTTAAGAACTAATTCAATTTCACAGTAAAAACCAATTATTTATTTTTCAGTTAAAACCAATAATTGGTTTTTACATAGAAATTGAATTAGGTTTAAAGTTAAGGTGATTGAAAAAGTCGTTCTGACGTCAAACGAACACAATCGCATCGACAGTCATGTTAAATGCGAGTGAACTCTATAAAATACAAGTTTTGAGACGTAAGAGCCAAAAACTATTTATAAAGTTTTTTAGTTTTTAAAGAGCTACCAACATCTTTATTTTAAAATTGTATTAATATTTGTGTATGGAGCTTAACCACATGAGACTTGTGAGCCACAGGTCGACAACCTGCGGCTCGTATTTAAATTTTTTAAACGTTTATACCCCTGGCATAAACGTTTAAACAATTTACTTTAAAAAAGTAGGAATATAAATAGCTTGAGCGAGTATGTAACACAGAACTGAATAACTCTGCCTAGTTTTCTTTTTTTTTAAATTAAAGTTAATTTAAAAAAATAACTAAATTTATATAAAAATGTCGACATCAAGTTGTTTTGACCTCCCCTTGTCAATAATTGTCAACAAAATAAAGGCCCTCCTCCCCCTATTTTGTTGACGTAAATAATGGTGGTCAAGTTATATTTTAATTTATCCAATCTATCAGTTATAATTTTCTCATTTGCGCTTGTAATTTTTTCAAAATATATTTCCTGCTCGTTAAGAAGTCTCTCAGTCTCCTTTAAAATTAATGTTTTTCTGTTTATCCAACATTATAAAATTATTTCTTACTTTATTTATTTTTTTTACATCCATAGTATTTTATATATTAATTTGATATTTAAAATAGGAAATAATTTTAATAAGATAAATTTAAAAAACTTTTTTTTTTTTGGGCAGCGAAAAAAAGTGTGCGTTCTACAATCAAGGCCGGCGCGATAGGGGTGTGTGGGGGTGTGTGACACCCCCATCAATGATTTTTAGTCGGCAAACTGGACCCTTAGTCGGCAAATGGGACCTTTTTAGACTAGTTAGTCGGCAAATGTCGACCCTTTCGATATAGGTTAGACAGTCGGCAAATGTCGTAATGACAGTCGGCAAATTTTAGTTTAATTTTAATTAATTTAGCGCTGTGCTCTCTTACGTAAAATGAGGACATATGGGAACCTTACGAATTATTCTTATTTATGTTTTTTTAGATAAATTCAAAAAACAATTCCGTTTTTGCTATTTTTTTTAAACATTTTAAAGATATTTAAGTAAATTTTTTTTAACACTTTAAAGATAATAAAAGATTCTAGTTTAATATCTCAGAAAAAAGTTAAAATAACTAAATGAAAATAAATAAATAATAATAACAAAAACAAGTAAATAAAAGTTAATAAAAGTTAATAAAAGTTCAAAATAAATTTTATCTAGAGTAAAAAGTGTTTTAACGTTTTTTCGATAGAAAATACTTTGCTATTAATATTGTTAACTAAATATTAGATCCCGATTAAAATGAAAAATTTTGCAAACAAAAATTAAATAACTAGTTTAGATCAAAATTAATTAGCTCTCTTTTCCACGCTTATAATATTACATTTAATATTATAAAATTATAATTAGCTCTCTTTTCCACGCTTATAATATATTAATTAGTTTCTTTTCCACGCGATAGCTCAGTGGCGGGATAGCTCACATGGTTAGAGCGTTAAAGAAAAAGTTATTGAACGATACGAGTTCTATGCTAAGCCAACAATATCTTCGGATATTAGAACATTGTATAGAAAAATATAGCATGAAAACTCAAATAAATAAAAAGATAAGGGCCCTTATGCGCGTGGGGTTATTTTAAAAATATTACACAAATAAAAAATTCTATAAACAAAGTCACGTGATTAAACGGCAACTAAAAGTTTATAAATAATAAAAAATTATTATTTTATTGAATAATAAAATTATTATTTTATTGAATATAATCTTGTTTTTCAATAGTTGTTCAACAGTTGAACAACAATTTTGTTTTATAATGGAAACATTTTCTAGCGTAAGTTGTACAACATGAAGTCGATTGTACAACAAAATTTTTGTTTTAAAATACATTTATTATTACAGAAATAAAAAAAAATCATATTTTGCATCACATAACTATTGTACATCATTTTTACAACTATTAAAACTATCTTTTAATTGATCCTGACTGATTAAACAACATTTTGTATTTTATTTTTCAAATTTTTGTTAAGTTTTTTCATTTATTTTTTAATATACAATTTATTTGAATTGATTAAGTTAAAAATATTACGCTTGTAATTAAGTTTTTTTCAGTTTAGCCGAAATTAGAAACTAATTTTAATGAGCTCACTGCGACTAATTACATGCTTAACACACACAAATGCTGTCAGGGTCAGGGTCAAATACATTTGATCAAAAACACATAAAAAATTTTGTGTAATTTAGATTAAAAAAATTAGAAATGTTTTTAACTTATTTCTTTTAAACAAATATTCAACTTTAATTAACTTTATTCATTAGTAATGAATAAAGTTAATTAAAGTTGAACATTTGTTTAAAAGAAATAAGCTAAAAATATTTCTATTTTTTTAAATCTAAATTACACAAAATTTTTTATGTGTTTTTGATCAAATGTATTTGACCCAAACCCTGACAGCATTTGTGTGTGTTAAGCATGTAATTAGTAATGTAAAAGTGTTATGTAAAAATGTAATGTAAAAATGTAATGTAAAGCATGTAAAGTAATGACATTACTTTAAACCTATAATCAGCTAATTTCCATTAGTTCTATTAAATAATTCATTTGTTCTTATTTTAAGGAAAAATGTGAAGAAAAATTTCATATATTGAAAATGCAAATACAACAATATTTATAATTTCCAAATACAAATATATATTTTACCTCAACCCTGATATTTGATACAATAAGATACAATTAAATAGAGATTAAAAAAGTAAACGTAAAAATAAAAAAAGTAAATATAAACTTATTATTCAGATAGTCATAATATTCTGGTAATATCAATAAGAGCGTTTTTTATGGTACGCATGACAGCTGATTCTTTAAACTGATCTTACTGTCTGACATAATAAAGTTGGAAGCTTTATTTTGGAAATGAAAGGAAAACAATTTTTGGGTTATGTTTTTGGTTGAAAATAATACAAACTGTCATCTAAGTGTTGAAAGACATTAATAAATAAGGTCTCGTCATTAATTGCATTTATTAATTTTTGCAGAGATAATCAAGATAGAACTATAAGTACATCACGTCATGAATATCTAGAAAAATACCACCTATATTGCATCCAATATGCATATTTGAAATTCTAAATACAAAATTACTAATGTAAAACTTAAACAATATAAAATCTAAAGAGTGATAAAATACTAACTTGTCATACACCATTCCAGATATTAAAAGAAGGTGATTTAGCTTTATGCAACTGATAAACATTTCTTGATTACTTTACCAGAATGCAAGCAGGCTTACAATACTTTTTGTTATTCTTTGATCTAATAGCTTGCAAAACAGTAACCAATAATTAATAATATAAAATGTTTTATTAAAATCTATAATACCCATGATTCCACACTTGTGTGATTTGGAGATGTTTCTATAATCCCATTTTTTAAATTGTATTATTGAAACCTGCCCAAACCACAAATCGCTATAACTATTCTATAATGTCATTTTAAGTGGTTTAAATTTGGCATTAATAATGTCATATTTAAACAAGTATGTGAACATTTCATTTAAAAGTCACGGAAAAGGAAATAAAAATTAATAAACATATTGAATAGTAGATTTTAATTGGTTTCTATTACTAATATCAAATCTTTATAAAAGATATAATCTTCTTCCTTAAATTCTTTTTTCATGTTTTCAACTCACAACTTTACTAACTTATAATTAAATATTAATTTACTTCTAATTAATTTTTCAATTAAACTTATGAGATTGAGATGTATGCTATGCTAGTATACCTTAATGTTATCCAAGAAAATCTTATAAACATATCAGTTCCATAAAGTATAAAAATTTTTAGTTATGTTAATAATGATGTTAGTTAATAATTGAATTAATATCCTTTAAATATGTGCTAGTATGAAATATCATGAATAGCATAAAATATCTTTTTGATTTTAGAATGTAAATATATTGTCTTGGTATAACCAAAATTTTTTCCAAGAAAAAGAGTTTATTAAAAACAAAGAAATTATAAGTGTATAAAACTACTACTACTAAAAAAAAAGTGGAATGCATGGATGCAGCTAATAAAACCTTATTTTGTTAATCATGTTTGACAATAATGATGACCGTGTTTCATCAACTGATTTTGTTCGACTTAAGCAGCAGGAGAGACTTGAAAGGATGCAGGCAAAGAAAAAATCATTGGCAGCAGTTAAAATCCAAGTTTGTTATAATTATATATATACTTAAATGAATAAAAATTTTTCAAAATAAAATATATTTAAATCAAAAGTGAGTTTTTAAAAAAAATCAATAATAATTTTTTTTTGCAGTAATTAGTCTCCTACATAAATACTGTTTCATAGAACCCTAAACTTCAGTTGTATGTACTAAATCTATAATCTATTTTTTTAGCACGATATCTTCAGTAGTGTTTTATTTCTGATATGTTTTAATTTTGTGAAGAAATAATTTTCAACAAATAATTTAATATACTTTTTTTTCTTTTATTATTTGTGTTAAAAGTTTTATAGTATAAAAGTGTAAAAAAAAAAAATAATTATGTACAAAAAAACTTGTTCATTTAACAGTGATCAATATTATAAAAACAAATTTTTTATATAATAGATCTGATATATTTAGTAAACATTAAAATAAAAAAAATACAACTTTGTTTTGGTACTGGAGTTTCATTAAAATATATATATATATATATATATATATATATATTTTAATGAAACTCCAGTACCAAAACAAAGTATACAGGCCTCGGCAGGATCTACACTCCCCTAAAACGGTTTTTGGTAACAGTTTATGGGAACAGTTTACGACTCTTGCAAAAGTATATTTTTCTCGTGAAAGTATAAGTATCGTTGTAATTAAAATAAAAAACACAATTTCATTTCAAAAAAAAATTTAAAAAGCACGGTTGTTGCAAAAAAAAAAAAAATAAATAAATAAAATTAAAAAAGAGCGCCAATTTAAATGAGCAGCTGGCACAGCTCCCCAAATTTGTTTTGGGAGAGCTTTTCTCTGTTCTTGTGCTCATTTATTCCCGCCAAGGTCTGTATATATACATATATATTTTTAAATGAAAATAAAAGTATGTCACTATAAGCACATAACATGTGTCAATGATTATTCATGCAAGGAAATCTTTACTATTTAATGATAACCAGGTTTGAATCAAAAAATAAAGTGGTTTGTTTGGCGTTACAAAGGGTGCAATTGAAGGTATGGAGATATGTGAATTTGTTTGGATATTCATTCTTTTTTCTAATTTCAAATTTTTATGATAAATATGACTTTGTCTTATACTGCAATGATGGGTTAGCAGTTTTTAAAAATGCTACTGGTCAGCAAATAGAGAAAATTAAAAAGCATATCATGTACTTATTCAAATGTAATGATCTTAGCATATCTATACAGTGCAACCTCAAAATTGTTAATAACCTCAATCCAACTCTTAACCTCTGCGACCAGTCATACCAACCATACTGCAAACCTGATTATACTTTAAACTACATACATGCTTAATGTAACCACCCTCCTAGTATACTAAAACAACTACCTCAAAATTTTAAACTGAGATTGTCTGTAAATTCTAGCAGCGAAGAAGCGTTTAAGAAATCTTTATCTATTTATAATGAAACACTACGAAATCTTACCAATCTAACTTAAAACAACAACAACAACAAAAATGTACACGCAAAATAATCTGGTGCAACCCTTATAGCATAAATGTCACCACAAATAAAGAAAAATGCTTTTTAAAATTGATTGCCAAACATTTTCCAATTAACAACAAACTACAAAAATTTTTCAACAAGAACCCTGTAAAAATCACCTACAGTTGCATGCTGAACATTTACACAACAAGTACATCCTATACAAAAATCCAACCATTGATAAAAATAACTGCTATTACCTTGATAAAAACAGTTGTCCTTTACTCAATAATTGCTTGATCAACAACATTGTATACCAAGCAACCATCACTTTGGATAACCCTTCAATAAAAAAAAAAAAAAACATACATTGCTATTAGTGAAACACTTTTTAAACTGAGATATGCCAAGCATTTGAAATTATTTAACATCCCCAAATGTAAAAACAATACAGAGCTGTCAAAGGAGGTTTGGAACTTAAAAGATAATAATAAAAATCCTGTGATTAGTTGGAAAATAATTAGATGTGAAGCATATAACCTGACAACAAAATCATGCAAATTATGCCTTAATGAAAAATATGAAATTGTTTCAAACAATGGCAACAGTTTATTAAATAAGAAAACTGAAATTATATTGAAAAGTCGGCATATAAATAAACTCCTTTTTTGTCAATTTGACACAGGGAAGAAGTTAGACTTCATGTAATTGTTTTTTTTTTTGTCTGATCCCATTGCATTGCTCAATTTGTATTTTTAACAGTTTTTTAATTTCTTGACTTAAAAATATATGGCTGATAATTGCCACCAGGCATAAAATTCATATATATATATATATATATATATATATATATATATATATATATATATATATATATATATATATATATATATATATATATATATATATGATATATGTATGATATATGTATGTTTATGTAGTTTGAAATAAAAGAAGAGCAATCTTTTTGATTTTCAGTGGTGATCATTCACAACCTCTTAGCTGAGTGATTGCTCCTTCAGCTAAACTGTTGTCAATGATCACTATGTTTATAAATTAATATATAAATGAAAATTACAGAAAACGATCAGATATCATAAATTTTAATATTCTCCAATACCATCTCCAATATCAAAATACAAAACATTAACAATGGATTGCACTAAAAATTATTTAATTACTTAGTGAATACTAACACACAATATATTTATTTAAAATATACAAAGGAATTGTATTATTATACATGTACTGTATGATAACGCAATATAAGTGTGTCATAAATGTATTTTTTTATTATACACAATATATATGTATATTTTATAAATAAAAAATAATCTAATAGAAGTTTTTGTTTTTTTGTATTTAAATATTAGTTTACTTTTACTGTTTAATAATTCTTTTATATTTTTGTACAAAATTATTTGTTTTCTATTTAAGAATAATGTTGTTTTTAGCTTTTCTTCTATATCCTATATATATTTTGAAAGCATAGTTACATTTTGATTGATTGTTTGTTCACCCATCTATTTTTCCAAATCCAGCTTTCAGATGAACTAACGTATATTTTGTATTTTCAACCAACTCAATTGTATCTTTTTTCTTTACTATATTTCTTCTAGGCTGTTGTGAGAATGTTTATCTGTAAAAAAAAAGTTTCAAGTCAGCTGAGGTAACGTGAACTCTTTTATGTTATTTTGACCGGTTTCTTTAAATTTTTCAATTTCATAATTGTAAAATTTATAAAATTCATTATAATTTGTTTATAGAAATAATAAAAATTTAGGTATTAAAAATAAATAAATGATAATTTGCGTGATGATTTTTCAATAATATCTTGAATACAATTTCAAAACCTTTTTGAACTACTAGTAATGAACACCAAAGCATGATCAAATCTTTTTAGCATGGTCTTCCTACCAAATATTTTAGTAATCATGACAAAACTTCTCTTCTTTGATCAAAGTATGACAAAGCTTCTCTTCTTTGATCAAAGTATGATGAAACTTCTCTTCTTTGATCAAAGTATGATGAAACTTCTCTTCTTTGATCAAAGTATGACGAAACTTCTCTTCTTTGATCAAAGTATGACGAAACTTCTCTTCTTTGATCAAAGTATGATGAAACTTCTCTTCTTCAATTAAAGTATGACAAAACTTCTCTTTTTTGATCAAAGTATGATCAAAGAAGAGAAGTTTCATCATGATTACTAAAATATTCAAATTTTAAGTTCCAAATCTTCATAAGGAGTGGTTACTAACAGATGCCAAGGTTGTAAAAATTTAAATGGAAAATATTTGTCTTGAATTGTAAACTCTGTCTACAGTATTTGTGTTCGTCTTCAAAGAATAATTGACCACACTGCAAATATGAATTTAAAGTTAATTGATTAAAGTCTCATAAAACTCTTTTTCTTACAAACAAACATAGATTTGTTATCTCAATTAGACAGTCTTATAGACAACTGATGTCAAATAGACAACAAAAGATTCTAAAGCACTGGTTTTTAGAAATGCAGGTCTTGAAAGCGCAATACTATATCTTTTAACTTGGGGCTAATTTTATATGGCTAGATTTACATTGTATAAAATTATTTTTGTTTTGCAATGGTAACACTTTACAGCGATTGGTCTAAACAAAAGTTTTTAGAAACAGTGCACTGTTTTTTACACCGCTGCTAAAAAATTTACACTTCTTAGTTATTGTTTATGAAGAGTACAACATACTCATCTAACAAAAAATGATCAGTAATGCCTCGAAAATGTTGTGTACCATGCTCTAATATAGTGGTTATGTGTCATCAACTACAAAGGTGTCCATTATTAGTTTCTTAGTGATTAATAAAAAAAAAGAAAATGTAAAAAAGCTATCCCTAGAAAAATCTCTATTTTCTAACGATAACCTTTATTGTTACTGTTATTGTAAATAAGCACACTGTTGTGTGTTGACTTCATTGGCCTATAGATTGCAAATCTTATAGACTTTGTTATGGAAAAGAACATTCTACTGAACCACCAACTGTCTTTTCTAGCATACCAGCTAGCTGTCATAGTTTACTTCCTTTTATATCCAAACCAGCATTTTCATCATCCAATATAAAAAATATAACAGATGAACTATATAGCTTTATAGAACATGATTTTTTTTAATTTAATAGCATAAAGGAGACTTTTTTTTCACCATTCCTTTACTTTTAATTTAATAGCATAAATTGTAGAGTAATGATCTTATTGTATACAACTTAAATGATGTTGCTTACATTCAAGAAAAGAATTTGTATGTGGCATTGCAAAGTTTTTGTAGTACCTCATACAAATTCTGGATATAACAAAAAGTTTTGCTATATCCAGATCAGCAGCATTGCTAGTGATTCAAACAATAAATTATTATTAATAATTGTTTACATATACTTTACCAATAATATAGTAGACTAAAAGGAAAAAAACCCACCTCTGTTAGCTCAATATACAATATAACTGACTGAATACAAAATAAGTTGAAATTTTTTAAATTTGGTAAGCCTCTATTTTAAATCTGCAAGGAGACAGTTTTAATGAAGCGGATTATTTGTACAAGTTTATAACTGATTGGGACCAATTCTTTTATAATAATATAATTTAAATAATATATAATAATTTTTATAATAATATATTTTATAATAGTATAATATAATTTTCTATTAAAAATGTTTTTTAATACTTTTAGAATTATAACAATGCATTTAATATATATTACATTTTCTCTTTTTTTAAATAAGAACTGAGTTTGATTCATTGCTACACATTAAAAAGTCTAAGACAGGGATAACAGGTATTTATTTTTTTAGAAGAGGAATAATATTTCAACAAAGTTTTATATCAATAATTTATGTATTCTAGAACTATAAATTTACAGTTATTATTTATTAAATAGCAAATGTTATTCTTACATATCATATAAATGATTGAAATGTAAAAAGATATCTAACAGGGCTTAATTTAACAGTCGGACATCGGACAGTGTCTGGCTAAAACCTCAGATTTTCCGATCAATTTACAAAGTCATCTGACATTTTGTCAGGCGGGATTTTGAATTCTTTAAAAGAAAATTTTATTCGTTGATTTGAAATCGAAAAAATTAAACTTAATGTAAACTATTAGACAAACTTATAAAATGTTTTGATAATGGAGGGATTCGTTCCCAATTAAAGCACTGTTATTAATTGTAGTTTTAATGACTGTTCTTTAACAGTTTTTTTTGTTATATTATTAAATTTAAAACTATTGCTTATTTAAAACGATCGCAAAATGGGATATTATAAAATGCAAATGAGCAAAATAACTTTGAAAAAGCGCCTAATCTAAGAAATGTTGCATTATTGAATTCTACTGATATTTCAATTATGTAAAGTTTTTATAAGTTTTTTCAAGAAGTCAAAAGATGGAGATTACAATAATGAAAAGAAGCTTAAAAAAAAGTTTAATTATATCAAAATGGGGAAAGTTGGTGTAGCTAATTATTTTTTTTTATAGAGTGAATAAACTCTCATTGAAAAAATATTTTGTTTTACAAAGTTAGTCAAAGTATGTTTGATTGATTACTGCAAACGCCGTGGACACTGAAAAGCAAAGAAAAGCAGGCAGTTTTAAAATTTTGATAATAAAAGATTATACAAAGGTGTTTTTTTAGATGCTGAGATCTCATCAATGCAATATTTTAAAAGAAACATAAAGAAGATATACATTTAAACATAAACGTTATGATCATCCAAATCATTCTATTTTAGCTTGAGCGATTTCTCAGTGGTATCCTGGTCCTCCTCGAGTTTCCCGATTCTTTATTCATTATTCGTTTTTTAAACTATATCTTTATTTGTATTTTTTTTCTTTTTATTTCTATAAAGATTGTAATATATATATATATATATATATATATATATATATATATATATATATATATATATATATATATATATATATATATATATATATGTATATATATATATATATATATATATATATATATATATATATATATATATATATATTTATATATATATGTATATATGTATATATATATATATATATATATATATATATATATATATATATATATATATATATATATATATATATATATATATATATATATATATATATATATATATATATATATATATATATATATATATATATATATATATATATATATATATATATATATATATAGTTCTAGCTTTATAAAAATTGTCTGCCAAAGAAAAGTCTGCCTTTTTGAAAAGTAGATAAAAAATAACCTGTAGAACTCATAAAATTTTCTTTGTTGAATTTTAATGACATGCAGCGCGTGGAATTTTTAAATTAAATAATAGCCCCTAAATATCATATTGCGTTTGTTTTAACTTCCTTTAAATGAATAAAAGCGAAGCGTGTAGATTTTTTTCGAATTTGTAATAACCAATCAACCAAGCGTAATGATTTGATTTAACTTTTAATGATTAAACGTGTAAGAATTTCTTCAGAAGATAAATAACAATTAGGATTCTATATGGCAAACAGTATAAATGTAATTCAGATTATTACAGTAAAATTTTTTTAGTTATTATTGTTAAATAGTCATCATCGTTCACTAGAAATAAACACACTCGTTTTCATTATATTTTTGGAACACTGTATAAATTGATCGTAATGTCAGACTTGTTATGCATAGCATGCAAAAACTGCAAGACAAGGTATTTGTGTGCAGATTGTTCCTTACCAGTATGTAACATTTGTTCCGTTGAAGTATCCCAAGATGATATTAATTACTCCGAAGAACATAAAAAAGTAGGGCGTTGTGGAGAATGTAGCACTCAAACAGTTATGGCAGTTGCAGTAATGAAGCCAATTGAACCGCCAAAAAAAGTACAAAAGACAATTTTTGCTTCATTCGGAGGGGTATCGGTAAGCCAGAAAATTAACCCAAACCAAGCAAAAATCCCATCGTCTTCACAATCTTTCGGTTTTCAGCAGCAACCGTGGTAAAGAGAAAATCAGATTTAGCTGATGTTTTTACATCTGAATAGCTGGAAAATTCCTTAGATTTAAACGGGAAAGTTAAATCATTGACTTGCAAATTCTGCCAGAAATTTTAAAATAAGATTAAATGTATGGATAACTTTTCAAATGCATTTATTCAGGGTCCAACTAATTTAAAAAATCTGCTGTTAGTGATCATGCAAAGTCTTTTAAATCCCATGCATATGCTTGCAAGCTATAGTATGAACATAAATATTTACCATTAGATCAAAGGGCAAGACAAATGGCTAATGTGTTAGGTAATCAAGATATTATTTCTGGTATAGCAGTTATGGATTGAAAAGAAATTGAGAAAACTAAGAAAAAGTTTGAAGTTGCGTACTTTATTGTAAAGAACGAATTACCATATAAATACACAGTATATTATACATAAGTACACAGAAATATTATGTCTTGAAAAAATGCATGGTGTTGAGCTGGGAGAGGCATATTTTAGCAACGTCAAATGTGCTGAATTTATAGATTTTATTGGTGAAGATTTAAAAGAGATATCATTATTTGATTTGTCAAAATCTAAATTTTTTGGGATATTATGTGATGGATCAACGGATAGTGCAATATTAGAAGATGAAGTTGTTTATCTAACTTATTTCGACCCTGAATCTGTGGAAAGTGATGAAGTTCAAGTGAAAACAATCTTCATAGGCTTATGAAAATTAAAATTTGGAATTGAAGAGTTCGAAAGTAAAGTAATAGGTTTTACTTCTGGCGGTGCTTCACTTAACAGAGGAAGTAATCAAAGTGTTAATGTTATTCTTCAGAAAAAGTCACCCTGGATAGTATTTATATGATGTGTTGCTCATCGCTTAGAGCTTGCATTAAAAGATACTTTGTCAAAAACAGCTTTTGATGACATTGATGAAATGCTTTTACGTTTATATTATCTTTACAAAAGGGCATCAAAAAAACTCTGTCAACTAAAAGTAATCTACAATGCTTATAAAGAAGGAGTGGAATTTATCCATCGACCAAAACTATAGAGCAAGCTAAACTTTAGGGTTATCTAGCAAAGTGGAATGACAGTAAAATGCTACTTCTTTTAAGTATGTGTATTGACTTACTTGGAATTGCATCAGAGTTATCTGTTTCTATGCAAAGTGATAAAATTGACACGGTTAATACAATGTATTTCCTGTCAAAAACAAAAAATCGCTTGGATTTATTAAAAAAAAAAGAATTTGAAAAGCTCCAACATGTAAAATACTTGATATCGAAAGTTACTTGTAAGGAGGGAAAATATTATTTTCAAGATATCGAGCTGAAAAATTATGACAGGTCAATTAATTTTGTTAAATGCAAAAAAAAAGAGTTTTATAAACGCGTAAAAAGTTGCATTTAAGTTCACTTAGAAGAAGAACCTGAAAGAAGCTGAAAGCAAGCAAATATTCAAATTTGTTTCGAAAGTTTTAAATTGTGAAGGATGGGATCAGAAAGAAGTAGTAGAAAACTTAACTGTTTATAACAATGAGTTTGCAGATGACGCTGTGTAAGAGCTGGAAAGATGTTTTGAACTACTTTTTACCATCCCCGTGTGCAACTCTAAGCTAGAAAGAATGTTTTTAAAGTTGAATGTGGTTAAAACTGTCTTTAGATGCTCCTTGTCTACTCAACGATTAGAACATTTATTAAAAATAGGTGAACTTGGTCCACCTGTAGAAATGTATAATGTAATGGCTACAATTGAAAAATGGGAATTACACAAACGTCGTCGTCCAACACAACAATGCTGAAAAGAGTATAAAAAAAATTTAGAAAAGAAAAAAAAGTAGTAAGAAAAAAAGTAGTAAAGATAGTAGTAAGGAAGACCAAAATAATGAAACTAATATCTTCAAAAATGTTTCTGAGCAAGAAAGGTTGTTTTCAGATAATGAAATTTGATTTATTTTTTTACATAAAGTTTAAAAATAGTATGTTTATCTTGATATTTAATATATTTAAGACATTATTATACTATACTACTATAACAAACTTGTTTTCTTGTCGTTTTTATTATTGATAAAAATAGTTACATGAACGCCATATAAATACCTTTTTGGCACTAAAAGTATATAGCATATTATATTTTGTTAAGTAAAAAAATTTACATAACTTTTATAAACAGGTAATGCAATTCATTGTAAACTAACAATGAATTGCATTACTAAAACAAGGTTTTCGAGAGAAAAAAACTCAATGAAACTTCAAGTCTATCTACAAAAATGTGCAGTATTGAATTTAAACTATTTCATTTAAATTACAAAGATCTACGATGATAAGAATTCTGAATATTAAGAAAAAAAACTACAACTTCATTAGCCTAAAATAAAATAACCTGGGAAAACATAATATATATTTCGATTGGATAATTAGGTTCCATAAAACTCAGATACGCCAGTAGCTAGTCTAAGCAAACCCATCTGCAGTACTTTTTTACTTTCAGCATTTAAAGAACTTTCATTTTCTGTTCCTTTTAATTAAATGAATTATTTAATTAAAAGGAACAGAAAATCAAATATTTACATATGAATATATGTAAATATTTGTGGAAATTATTTGTTTAAATTTTATTTCAAAAATTTGATTGGACAATGTCCGACCAAAATAACTTTTGGTTGGACATTTTGTCCGGGACCTTATAAAAAATTAAATTAAGCCCTGTCTTATAATAAATGCAGTTTTATTTTAAATATGCCTTTATATGATTAATGAAACAAGTAACGATAGATTGCTTGCGAGCATAGTAGTATTTGTAGAAAAGAGAAAGAGATTATAACT